TGGCGGCCGTGTAGTGGCGCAGGGCCGCCCCCACATCGCCCGCCGCCAGCGCCCGGTTCCCCCGCTCCCTCAGCTCCTGTGCCTGCGGCAGGAGGGAAGGGCATGAGGAGGAGGAAGGCGTGAAGAGGAGGAGGGACACGAGAAGGAGGAAGGTGTGAGGGGGAGCAAGGCCCACGGCGAAGACGAAGGGGCACGAGGAGGAGAAGGGCATGAAAAAGAGAAGGAGGCAAGGAAGAAAAGGGGCGCGAGGAAGAGGACGGGCGTGAAGAAAGGGGGGCGCAGAAGGGGAAAAGAAGGGGGGGATGAGGAAGAGGAGGGAGGAAAGATGGGAGAAAGAAGAAGGAGCACGAGGAGGAAGAAGGTGTGAAAAAGAGAAAGAATAAGAAAGAACGAGCATTAAAGAAAACAAGGTATAAAAACGCGAAGCAGCAAGGAAAGACCAAGGAATGAAAAGCAAAAAAGGTGGAAGGAAGGGGAAGGGTCATGAGAAAGACAAAAAGGTATAACAAACAGAAAGGTGTGAGGGAAACCAAGGACCGTGAGGAGGATGAAGGGCACAAGGGAGAACACGGCACGAGAGAGAGAACGGGACAAGGAAGACAAGAAGCACGAGAATGACAAAGGTGTCAGAAAAAGGAGGGGCACGCAAAAGATGAAGGGCCACAAGGAGAAACGGAGGAGCATCAGGAGGAAGAAGGTGTGAGGGAGAGGAAGGGACGCGAGGAAGATGAAGGGGCACAAGGAGGAAGAAGGCACGAGAAAGAGACAAGAAAGAAGAGGAGAACGAAGAGAAAAAAGGAGCACGAATAAGAGAAGGAGCACAAAGAAGGGGGCAGCGAGGAAACGGCGAAGAGGGGAGAAGGGTGTGAGGAAGATGACGGGCCACAAGGAGGAGAAAGGTGTGAAGAAGAGGAGGAGAAAGCGGGAGGGGGGGCAGGAGGAGGAAGAGGAGGGGAAAAGGGGGTGGGGAAGAGAAAAAGGACAACGTGAGGAAGATGAAGGGTGCGCCCAGGGACC